TTGAGTCGAACTTGAGTCAAACTTGAGTCGAACTGGGGTCGAACGGATCCGTTAGGTGTGCTCCAGGAAGGTCCCCGAAACCAGCATCGAAGAAAAGCGTCTTCACCCGGAATAGCGTCTTCACACGGAATAGCGTCTTCACCCGGAATAGCGTCTCCACGGAATAGCGTCTTCACCCGGAACAGCGTCTTCACCCAGAATAGCGTCGTCATAGGGAAAGTGCTGTCTGTGTCCGCAGAACACGTCTTCACAGGGAATAGCGTCTTCACAGGGAATAGCGTCTTCACCAGGAATAGCGTCTTCACCGGGAATAGCGTCTTCACAGGGAATAGCGTTTTCACCGTCTTCACAGGGAATAGCGTCTTTACAAAAAATAGCGTTTTCACAGGGACGCGTCGTCATAAAGAATAGCGTCTTCAAATAGCGTCTTCGGCGCCAGCTCGAACTGGGAACCCCGCTTGCCAGGGCAATGTATATGTATATATACACACATACATACATACATACATACATACATACATACATACATACATACATACATACATACATACATACATACATGCATTCGCCCTCTCACTCTCTCTCTCTCTATTTCTCTGCCTGTGTGTATATGATATGTATAAAATATAGATTACTATCTCTGCGTTGTTTTTCTCTCTTTCTCTCTCCGTATGTATGCATGTACACACGTCTATACAACCGCCTACACATACTTATAAACGTATACGCACGCATGTCCGCCACCGTGCCTCTGGGCATGGAGTGGGCGTGTCCTCAGGTCCTTTGCCCAATCCCCTGAGCCTCAGTCCTCAGTCCTGAGAAGTCCCTGCGGGGACTGGAGTCAAAATTGCCAAATCTCTCGAGGCTTGGCGCGGTTCCCCTGGGCTCCGGCGAGCGTTCACGCATGACCTTTCGGGACCCTGGAGGGCCCCAAGACGGGACAAGAAGGCCCCAAGAGGCGTTCCAGACCGCCCACGAGCGCCCCGAGACGACCAAAAATCGCTCCAAGACGCCCAAGATGGCCCCGAGACGGCCCAAGAGGCATCCAAGACCCCCAAAGACCTCCAAGAGGCCTCCCAATAGAGCCCCTGGAGGCCAAAATCACCCTAAGTTTTTGAAGGATGTTGGCGTTCTCGCATTTTCGCCTTCCCGACGCTCCCAGGCGGCCCCAGAGGCCCCCAAGACCGCCCCAAGACGGTCCAAGAAGCCTCCAAGAGAGCCTCAAAACAAAACCGAAAATCCAAATGTTCCGCCCCAAGAAGCCCCAGAAGGCCCCAAGAGGAGCCCAGGAGGCCCCAAGAGGCCTCCAAGAGGCCCCCAAGAGGCCCCAAGAGGCCCCCAAGAGGACCAAATGAGGCGGCAAGAGGCCCCCAAACGGCCATCAAGAGGCGTCCAAATTGCCTCCAAGAGGCCCCCGAGAAGCCTCCTACGAGATCCCAACGACCATCCAAGATGCTCTATCCCCACAATGCAGGCACGGAGGCGGGATGGGCCAAAGGTCATGATACCGGAGAAAAACCCCAATCAGAATTTGTTTGGGGCTATTGGGCTATAGGGCTATTGGGCTATAGGGCTATGGGGCTATAAGGCTATTATACGGCTATAGGGCTAAAGGGCGATAGCGATATAGGGCTATAAGGATATAGGGCTACAGGGCACCGGGCACCCGGGCACCCGGCACCAGGCACCCGCCCTGGAAGGCAAAGCCTCGTGGCTATTATTGGGCCGTTCTGGAGTGGAACTGTCAATGATTTTCAAACGTCTGGTCGTGTCTATTTCCACGTCCCGCGCATCATCCACCCGGGGTCCGGGCACCCGGCACCCACCCGGGCACCGGGCACCCGTCACCTGGGCACCCGGGCACCCGGGCATCCGGGCACCCGGGCCCGGCCACCGAATCGGCGGCGAACCCGGGCACCCGGGCACCCGGGCACCCGGGCACCCGGGCCCGGCCACCAAATCGGCGGCGAACCCGGGCACCTGGGACCCGGGCACCCGGGCACCCGGGCACCCGGGCCCTGCCACCGAATCGGCGGCACACCTCACCTACCCTTAAATCCGCTAGGACCCCTACAGAGGCAAGCTCTGATTGGGGAAAAAGATATGCAGGCACGCATTGATGTGTATACAGATGTACGCATACATGTCGGTGTACAATAGTAGATATAGATGTATATACATACATACATATATACATGTATGTAAGTATATATACATACATACATACATACATACATACATGCATGCACACATACATACATACAGACATACAGACATACATACATACGGACATACATACGTACAGGCATTACATTACATGACATTACATTACATTACATTACTTTACATTACATTACATTACATTACATTACATTACATTACATTACATTACATTACATTTACATTTACATTACATTACATTACATTACATTACATTACATTACATTACATTACATTACATTACATTACATTACATTACATTACATTACATACATACATACAACGTACATACGTACATACGTACATACGTGCATACGTGCATGCATACATACATACATACAAATGCATGCATGCATGCAGGCAGACAGACATGCATGCGAACATGCATACATACATGCATACATACATGCATACATACCCACATACACACATGCATGCATGTATACATACATGCATGCATACATGCATACATGCATGCACACACGCATACATATATACATATATACACATACGTATATACATATATACATACATACATGCATACGTGCATGCATGCATACATACATGCATACAGACGTACACATGTACGTATGACGAACGTACCTACAAACATGTGTATATACAAATCCGAAATGTGTACAGTCATACGCACATACATACATACATACATACATACATAAGCACACACATGCATATGTACATACATGCATGCATACATACATGCATGCATCCATACATATGTTCAGATACACATACATAGATACATGCATGCATACATACACATATACATGTATAAGCACATACATACGTACATACATACATATAGACATACATATGTTTGGGGTTTCCTCTTTTTGGGCGTCGCGCCGCCACAAGTTCAAAGCGCAAGAGGCTCAAGCACACTCGAGGAGAAACGGCCACCAGGACCTGGCAGGGGCCCATACACGGCGAGCACCAGCACCCTCCAGCAGGTCAGCGAGCAAGCCAGCGAGCTCGGCTCGCCGGCCGCACTGACCCCTAGAGGGTAAGGCAGCCCGCCGAGTACAATTGGCCCCGCAAACACCAGGAAACACAGTTAAACGTGTTAATCCCCTGGGGCCACCCCTCGAGAGCCTGACCTAAAAGGTGGCAGAATTGGGGATGGACGGACGGCCGCTTGAGCCGTACACCTACGGAACGATCGAGCGAAGGAGTGTTCACCCTGAGCTCTCTCGAGGCCCGTCGGGCGAACACTATATCACCTGCTCGCTCGACGGCGGCGCTTTGCCTAAGAGGTCCAAACATACGCCCAACCCCGAGGGTGTTATGTTACATGTTTGGGGTTTCCTCTTTTGGGGCGTCGCGCCGCCACAGGTTCAAAGTGCAAGAGGCTCAAGCACACTCGAGGAGAAACGGCCACCGGGACCTGGCAGGGGCCCATACACGGCGAGCACCAGCACCCTCCAGCAGGTCAGCGAGCAAGCCAGCGAGCTCGGCTCGCCGGCCGCACTGACCCCTAGAGGGTAAGGCAGCCCGCCGAGTACAATTGGCCCCGCAAACACCAGGAAACACAGTTAAACGTGTTAATCCCCTGGGGCCACCCCTCGAGAGCCTTCCACGTCCCCCTATCGTGGCTCTGCCGACCTATTTCAAACTGATGCCATCAGGCAAGGACTACTGGATTGACTTTACCACTCAAGTCTTACATCTTCAGCTGCCTTAAAATATCTTCCCAGCGGGGAGCGGCTGCTCGAATTCTATCTTTGGTGCTAGGCAGAAGGGCGAGAGCGACGGTGTCAGCAACTGCCTGAGACAAGTACATTCTGGCTACTTTTGTGCCGCCCCACCGGCCTTGTTGAAGAGTATACTCCATATTTCTATGGCGGGTGAAGTGGGCGGTCGCACCTCCTCTGCGGAGGCTATACATTGTGAACCCTCGGTCCTGAAGGTCGAACATCTGAAGCAACCAGGACAACTTCCTCCGAACTTCAGGCGCCGTCGCTCCACACAGCAGATCTTCCGACCCCAGCTGCAAGCATCTGTATTTTAGGATCTTTCGAGACACTCCGTCTTTGAGAGAAACCACTTCTGAAAAGCCAGTTCGCAGTCCCATCTTCGAGGCCTCGATGTGAATAACTGCCCGCTCACCTTTGACAAGGATGTGCCGCCGTCTGAGAGCCAGCAGCTCGCCTGTGCGCATGAACGTGTCGAAACCGACGAGGATCACGGCCGCCCGACCTTCCCAGCCGAGGTCCCACGCTGCAGCTGCCAAGGCTAGGACTATGTCGGCCGTGAACGGTGTCGCCCGACTGGGCGCGCACTGTCTCTCCCACGCTCGCACCAGGCCCCAACTCTGCTGCAGGTTGCCCTTCAGGGAGGGCATCATCCACTGCAAAGCCGCTGTCGCATTGACCACCAGGTAAAGCGGCTCCAGCTCTGCCCAGCACGCTTCCATGTACAAGCTGAGGCTTTTGTCCACGTCGTTGAGCGAGGACAGCTCCACACTGTGCACCCTCCACCACACAAGAAGGCGACCGGCACATCGAACATACCGATCGCGCGTGGCTTTAGTGACCTGTAGGTCACGCAGCCGCGTGCCTCGCGTACTGAATTGAGAACGCACATGCAACCAACTGCGACGCCTGCCGCCGCGCGCTGTCACTTGGACTCTTTTCGGCGCCATTTCTTAGTCAAGAACTCCCTGGACGGCCGATCACTTGGGTTGAGCTTGGTATTGATATACCCAACGCCCACATACAAGTCTGAACTGACGAGTATAGCAGCGCACTGTCGAGCGAGTCCTCGAAGCTTCCCCGATGACGCGCGGCCGCGGGTCAGTATCGAAGCCGCAACTTGGGAATCGACAAGGTGCAGAACCTTCACGCTCCTGAACGATGTAGTGCGAGTCCTGTGCCGCAAGGAAGCGTTCACCGCCTTCAACTCGAGCGCGTTGATATGCAGCTCCCTCGACGACTTCGGCCACGGAAAGGACAGCGTCGGCCGCCAGCGCCACAGCGCCGGGTCGATCGAGGATCGCGGCCACGCCTTGGGGCGGAAAGGCACACCGATGTCGAGGCGGATGTCACTCCCCGACTTCTCGGCAATCGTCCAGAAAATCTCGACCAGCTTGCGGCCGATGGGGGTCTCCTTGATGGGGTCCCTCGAGAACTCCACCGACTCGTCGAGCAAGTCCTTTACCTCCAACTCGCTCGTGATCCCCTCGAGGTCAGTCGCCCTGACGGGCCAGCCCAACTGGCACTTCAGACCGAGGAACAGCCAGCTAACGACGCAGCAGGCGAACGCGTTCCCCAAGAGGCTGCAGCGATCGTTCTCAACGCTGCCACGGCTGGAGCCCGAGCTGGCTACGGACGACGAGTAGTGGCGAGGGAACCCCATGAGCACCTCCTTCTCCGTGGCACACAAGGGCCTCAAGTCCCCCTTGGAGCCCCGAATCATGTGAACTAGCTCGTACTGGTACGGAGGGTACGCGTGCAGGTCCTGGGTCCACCTCTGGATGGCCTCTGGGCTCGCTGTCGATAAACCTGCAGGCTTGTACGGGACAGTCTTCTCACGCCGCTGGAGAAACGCGCAGACTGGGCCCGTGTCCGAGGCCCTGGAGCACCCTGCGGCAACCCAAGAGCCAGCAGGAGCCTTCGGGACCTGGAGCGCCCTGATGAGGTCGTAGTTGGCCTTGCCTCGCTGGCGTCAGAGCACGAGACGATGCTCGTGGTAGCGGCCCTCAGGTTGGTGGAGGCGAGGGGCATCAACAGGCAGCTGTGCATCAGCTCGCCCAGGCTGGCCCTGGTCAACACAGTACGGCCCGAGCCAATCTGCTCCCACACCGAGTTGAACACCCCGAAGAGAGGACGTCGAAACTCTAGCGCCCTCACCCAACGTCCCATGAGAACGAGGAGCTGGTTCCCGAGGGGGTTCTCTATTGTCAGGAGCCACATGGTAAGGCTGTGCAGCTGCACGTTCTTTATCCGATTGTTGGCGGCCCTGCCTGAGATCCCGTCCACCTCTACACCCATCCGCGTGACCAAGAGCTGCCTCTGGTTGGCTTTGTCCACGCTGATGGGGGTTGCATTCCGCTGGTAACTCTCCCTCATCAGGGCCTGCAGGCGGCCAGGAGTGCCCACCTTCGCGAGCGCCTCCTTGCACCCAGCCGTCTCGCAGTTATCGAAGTCGTCGATGTACACACTCCACCACTCGCGAGGGCCCTCATGAGACAGGGGAGCAGCTGCAGCGGCGGGGATAGGACGGTCGCGCCGCCACTCCAGGTCAGCTGGGAGGGCGGCGCCAGCAGGGCGACCCAGAAGCGCAACCCACCGGTGGACGCTCTGGAAAATGGGGACGCTGTACACCCAGCCCATGGGCAGCACTGTCATGGCCAGCCACACCTCCTTGGTCTTCATGCCAAGAACATGGCCGGGGACTGGGGCGCAGATCGCCATGTAGCCCAGCCACGGCGCAGGGATGCGGTACATGAAGAAAGCTCCCTCCTGGTCGCCCCCACTCCAGAGCAGCACCTCCTCGGGGCCAGGGGAGATGCTTACCCGCGCCGGCGAGGGTACCAGAGTCACTGAGCCCCCTGCCAACGGTCGAAGGTACGTATTCGTCGGGACCATGTTGAAAATCAAACGTGTCACTCTGGCCTCTCCCTCAGCTGGGGACCCCGACTTTGTCACAGCAAACAACCCATTTGCGACGCGACGGCCGCGGGCCACAAAGATGCGCTCAGCTGGTATAGGGGCCAGCAGTCCACGCTCCACCAGCTTGGCAGCGATGGCCCACCAGTCCTCCAGCTTCTCGACGTTGACCTTTGCCTTCGGAGGCGACTCGGGCCACTCGGCCTCCGGCAAGAGCGACATCTCGGGTTTGGTGAGCACCTCCTTGAGCTCTGGCCCCACATAGTCCAGCACGTCCAAGCGGCCGATATCTTCGGTTTTGGGAAGGCCGGGCTCAAGCTCGCCGAACTTCAAGGGGAGCGCCAGACAGTCCTCCTCCAGATCGTAGCTCGACTTCGTCTTCTTCATCTCCTGAGGCCAGAACGGGATGTCCACCGCCGCCAACGCGTCGCCCACGCGCCACTCGACCGTCTCACCGATCACACGTAGGCTGGCGGCCTGCACCTCAGAAAGGCGCCCGGCTGCTTCCCGGCGGTCCTTGCTCAGGTGCCCAAGGTAAAGGTAGTTCGGGCCCAGCACGCTCAGGAAAAAAAACCACACCTCGACCGCCATGGCTTGGGCCTCCTTCTTTAGAGCAGCTGGCCACTTCGTAACATCCACGGGGGATCCCTCACCGTCCAACATTCCTCTTCTCTTCAGTTCACGTTCCCAAGCGAAAAAGGTTGCCGGCTCCCTTACTGGCAGGGGCAGCACATCACGCCCGACACCAGCCTCCGGCGATTGTGGCGCGACGCCCACAGGGAACCTTCTAGCGAAATCTCCAGTGCAACTTGGCATTCTCCTGACACTGGTGAGGATCCCGAAACCGATCTCCAGCATTGTCATTTGGCTTGGGCCGCTGCGGCACATGCGCGAGGCGATGTCCGCCTTCCACTGGCCCAACGTCAGCGCGGCCACCTCGCTGCTGACAGCCGCGTCACTCATCGCGCTCAATGCTTCAGCACGACCCGCCTCTGCGGCTCGCTCGGCTTCGCCGCGTTCTTGGCCGACACCCAGCGCTTGAAGAACTGCGACGCGACCCTCTTCTTCAACTGCCGCCTGGACTCCCCCTCGGCACGCGGAGTCTTCGCGCGCGCCGCCGCCCACGCTGACAGGGGCTTCCCGCCCACCGCCCGGGGGGCCGGGCGGTCTGTCAGCGCGGGCAAGCCGCCCCCCGACGGGGGATCGGCGCGGCCCGCCTCCAGGGCAGGAGCACGACCCCTGGGCGGCTGCACTCCCGAGCGGCTGCGCAACTCTGCGGCGTCCGCGGCAGTGCCGATGTGGGTGATCGGCAACGCTCTGCTGTCCGGGCTTCCACCACGGCTCGGGCCTGCAGGGCGGTCGGCCAAGCTCTCGCCGCCGCCCCGGCCAGACCCCTAGCCGCGGCCCCCGAGGCGCCCGAGCAGCTGGGCCATGCGCACCTCGGCGGCCTCGATGCCCGTGACGAGCTCCTCGTCCTCAACTGAGAGGCTCAATCCACCATTGTCGGGGGGGTGAGCTCGAACCACTTCGCCGTCCTCGAATGGCCATCCCGCATGGTCTTCTGGATAGCCTTGATCCTGCAGAAGATGAAGTCCAAGGCGTGAATGGGCTTGCCTGAGACTATGAGGTCCGCACTCTCCGCGAGCGTCCGCAGCTCGCGGTACCGGTCCTCACCAATCTCACGAATGGGGTGCGCGGGCTTCAGCACCCGGAGCAAGAACTTGAGCGCCACGGGGCTATGCTTGTTCACACCTCCAGCATCATCATGGTCCAGAAACTGCGCCATGTTCTCCATCTCCCTCTCCGAGAGGCGCCCTGGATGCTTCTCCGCTATCTTCTTGTACGCGAGGCGGCGGGCCGCCACAGGGCGCCCGCCAGGGACGCGATCATCATCACTGTCAAACAGGCCGTCGTCGTCGTCGTCGCCCTTCTGACTCAGGTACTCGGCGAGCGTCTTCAGCACTGCCCGCTCGCCTGAGCCGCGAGCACGACTGCCATCTGCTGGACCAGCAGCGGCAGCACTCGGCGCCTGTCCAGTCATCCTCGCCTGGACCACGTCGCCGAGCTTGGCCTTCTTGGTGGGTGCGGCGGCCGTGGCCCCGCCCGCAGCGGCCTCCGGGCCGCGCACTGTCGCGAGCTTCTCCCGCAACTTGTTGAGGCGCTCCAGGTAGCCGTCCTTCGCCGAGCTCTTCGTGCCCTCGGACTTGCCTGAGAGCGCTGCGAGCTCCCTGTCGAGCTCAGCGAAGGCGTCCGCGTCCGCCTCGTCGGCCTCCTCGTCGCCGTCGAGCTCCACCAGGTCGCCCCCAGCCTTGCCTACGCCGGCGGGGCGCTTCCTGGCCGGGCCAGCGAAAGCGGCGGGACTCGGCGGCGGCCCCTCGTCCTCCTCAGCGGCCTCAGCCTCATGTGAGGCGGCCTGAGCGACATCAGCCGGCAGCTCGGGGCAATCCTCATCGTGCTGGAGCACTGCCATGTGCCGCTCGGCTGCCTGAGCGGCCGTGAGCCTCTGGGGCGCTCTGGTGTGGAACACCTGGCACCCCGCCCGCGGTGCCGTGTAGCGACATCGCGAGACTGGCCCACGGCACACGTGTAAGATCATCTTCTCTCGCTTCGCAATCCGTGAATTAAGCCACCATGACAGGTATTGGTCTCCAGCAGCAAAGTTTTCCACTTCGTAGGCGGTGCCCCCTGGGTTGTCCGACATTACTCTGCGCACCACGCCAACCACAGAGCCCGCGTCGGACCCGTCATCATGCAAGACGGGATGTCGGAAGCACTCGCCCGGCATCAGCACTGTCGGGCGTTCGTCCGAAATCAGCACCTGATCGGACGAGCACCAGTCGAGGTCAGGGGGCGCGGAAAGGTGTACGGTCAGAATGCCTGAAGCGCTCGAGCTCCAGACCGCAGGACCTGACCTGCGGCGCAGCCGCTTGAGCCGTACACCTACGGAACGATCGAGCGAAGGAGTGTTCACCCTGAGCTCTCTCGAGGCCCGTCGGGCGAACACTATATCACCTGCTCGCTCGACGGCGGCGCTTTGCCTAAGAGGTCCAAACATACGCCCAACCCCGAGGGTGTTATGTTACATACTAGAACCATCGCGCGCGCTTCGCGCGCGCTCAAGTTCTAGCTGGGATAATCGTCATCGTCATCATCGCCATCCTCATCACCATCATATCCGGCGTCATCGTCAGCGGCATCGTCATCATCACCACGACCATCACCATCATCACAATCGTCACCATCACCACCATCAGCAGCAACATCGTCATCACCATCGTCATCATCGCCATCGTCGTCATCATCGTCAGTATCGTCACCTGAATTATCAACATAATCATCCTCATCATCAACATCGTCATCATTATCGTCGTCGTCGTCGTGATCGTCGTCATCGTTATCGTCATCGTTATCGTCATCATCTTCATCATCCGCCCACTCCTGCATCACAAGCACCATAAACAGCATCGCCACCATTATTACCAGCATCGGCGTTATCATCCTGACCATCACCAACATCATCATAATGATCATCAGCATCACCATCCTCAACGGCATCACCGTCATCGTCATCATGATCGTCAGCAGCAACACCATCATCATCATCATCATCATCACCATCATTCACATCACGATCACCATCATCATTCCCACTGTCAACATAATCATCATCTTCTTCCTCCTCATCATCATCATCATCATCATCATCATCATCATCATCATCATCATCATCATCGTCATCATCATCATCATCGTCGTCGTCAACTTCATAATAGTCGTCATCATCGTCATCATCTTCGTCACCGTCGTCTCCGAAGCTCCCCCGCCGAACTCGAGGATATCTCCGCAGCGTCTTGCATGCCGCGTGAGCAGTGTTGGGGATTTTGGTTGTGGGCCTGAGGCCGCCCTGCATAATCATCATTGTCATTATCACCAGCGTCTGGAAGCCTTGCGGGGCCCTTTCGGCGCCTTTTGGAGGCCTCTTGGAGCTTCCTGGGGGCCTCTCGAGGTCTCTTGCGGACTCCTGGGGGCCTCTTGGGAGCTTCTGGTGGGCGAGGGCTCGAAATGTCAGTTCGTGTTCCCCGTCTGGGGCTCCTCTTGGAGTGTTCTGGGAGCTCTTTTGGGCCGTCTTGGAAGCTTCCAGGGCCGTCTTGGGGCCCTCTTGGGCTGTCTCGGTGGTCTCTTGGGGGCCTCTTGGCTCGTCTTGAGGCAATCTTTCGGGCCTCTTGGGCCGTCTCGGAGCGTCTGGAAGCCGAACTGGGGAGAACGCCAAAACCCTTCAAAAACCCATTAAGAATTAATGACAATTCCCTCTTGGGCCCCTCCCGGGAGTGCTGTCGGAGACCTGCTGGGACACTTTGGCAGCTTTTTATTCGTCTTAGAGTGCTCCCGGGCCGCTTCGGACCTCTTGGGGTGTCCTGAGGGCGTCCTGGAGCCATTTTAGAGGAACCTGGGAGCGTCCTGGCGTCTCCGGCGGGGGGGTGACTACAGCCACTGGGCAAAATGAGGCCACCCCCTGGTCCAGGACCCCCTCACCATTTATATATAGAGAGAGAGAGAGTGCTGTGGCAGGCGGCGCCCGGAAAAACTACGACCGATAAACCGACAAACCGATAAAAACAAATCGGATGATCGGTTTGCAAACCGATCAACCGAAAAAACGATATAATGTAACCGGTTTATCGGTTGATTAAAAAATCAACCGACAAAAAAAACGATATACCGACCGCGAGCGTCCCTGTTACCAGTTCGCTTGTGTACTGGGGTTATCGGTTTATCGGTTTATCGGTCGACAACCATGAAAACCGATAAACCACGAAACCCGCCCCGTGCCTCCACGATAGATTCTTTGTTCGGGAGACGTTTATCGGTTTATCGGTCTATCGGTTGCCCACTACTACCACCACTACACTAACGACTACAGAAACTACCACTACTATAGTACTATTACTACTACCTACTAGTACTACTCGGCGTTGATCGGTTTATCGGTTTATCGGCCTCACACCTTGGCATCAACGATACTAACACCTTAGCCCAGCTCTCCTACCCACAACCCTTGCGCGCGCAGCCTAGTACTACAACTACTATTACTAGAGGTTTATCGGTTTATCGGTTCATCGGCCACGCTCGCTTCCGCCTCACACCTTAGCATCAACGATTCCAACACCTTAGCCCGGCTATCCAACCACAATATTTGCGCTCCTAACCCCGCGACTACTACGATTACTTCTACTACCACCACACTACCACTACCACTACCGATACTACTACTACTAGTACTACTACTACTACTACTACTACTACTACTACTACTACTACTACTACTACTACTGCTGCTGCCAATACCACTACCAATACCACTTGCAACTACCACTACCACTACTACTACCACCACTACTACTACTACTACTACTACTACTACTACTACTACTACTACTGCTACTGCTACTGCTACTACTACTACTACTACTACTACTACTACTACTACTACTACTACTATTACTACTACTACTACTACTACTACTACTACTACTACTACTACTACTACTACTACTACCACAACCATTACCACTACCACTATCACGATCAACTACTACGATCACCGATGATACAGCAACACCAACAGCAACTACGACTAATACTACCACTACCACTACCACTACCACTGCCAATATCGTTGCTACTACTACGAATATCACTTCGACAACTACTACAACTACCACGGCGTATACCGATGATACTACTTCGACTACGATACGACTCCGGGGGCATTTTAAAAACTCTTGGGGCCTCTCTAGGGCCTCTCGGGTTCTCTTGCCTCTTGATCATGTCGCGATTCGGAACTCTCTTGGAGCGGATTGAGGACCTCTTGGGACCAGGGGCATCTTGACGCCTGATCATGTTACGATACGGGACTCTCTTGGAGCGGCTTGGGGACCTGTTGGGACCCAAGGTCGCCTCTACGGGCGCTCCTGAGGTGCTCTTGGAACAGCCTCGGGGCTCTTTTGGGCCTCTCTCGGGGCCCTGTTGGCCCATCTTGGAACTATCCTGAGGCCTCGGACGGCCATCAGAAGCGAACAAAAAAAAAGAAAACGAGCAACAGTTTTGGACGAATGTTGGCCTCTTCGGGGCCTCTTTGGGGCGCTCTTTGGCCACTTGGGACTGGATTGGAACGTTCTTGGGGCCTCTTGGAGCATCTTCGGAACCATATTGAGGCATCTTAAGATATCTTGCGCTATCCTGGAGGTCATCTTGGGCTCCCTGAGGCCATCTTGGAGCCGTCTTGGGCATCTTGGGCACCCTAATTACCCGCGACTGGCCACGTCCAGGTCCAGGGGAGGGGGTCCAGAAAGGTAGTGGGGCAAATCCCGGCCAACTGAAGCAAATCCCGGCCGACTGGGACCAATCCCGGCTACGCCACCCCCAAACTCGAACAAATCCTGGCCGCCCTTATGAATGCATCATATATTAAGATACATCTGGATTCAAAATGTCTTCTTCTAAAGGTTCACTTTGCTCCCGTGTTTGTGGGAGCCGTAATTAGTACTAAGTCGGTGCACTTTCCTCTTGTGGTGCTGCGACGTGATCGTGGCGAGTACGACGGTGACGATAACCGATAAGGATATGCGAAACATCACGGCATAACTACCTACCCGTCGTAAACGCACGCTGAAATAGTCACCCGTGCTCATTCTGCTGTCAGCCGAGCATGGTAGGCGAAAAGCTGACGAAGCGCAGAACATAATGCCGAATTGAGCGAAAAGCTGACGGAACGCCAAACAGAATGCCGAATGCGGCCGGTAAACCAATAAACCGATAAACGCCTAGTAGTAGCATTAGTAGTCGTAGTAGTAGCTGTAATAGTAATCTAGTAATGGCAATTCACTCGTGCTCATTCTGCTGTCAGCCGGGGGGACAATAGTAGTAGTAGTAGTAGTAGTAGTAGAAGTAGTAGTAGTAGTAGTAGTAGTAGTAGTAGTAGTAATAGTAGTAGTAGTAGTAATAGTAGTAGTAGTAGTAGTAGTAGTAGCAGTAGGTGAAACAGTAGTATATTAATAGTAGTAGGACCGGTAGTGGTCAGTGTAGTGGCAGTAATAGTGGGCGACCGATAAGCCGATAAGGATATGCGAAACATCACGGCTTAATTACTTACTCGTCGCAAACGCACGCTGGAATATTCACCCGTGCTCATTCTGCTGTCAGCCGGGGGAACAATAGTAGTAGTAATAGTAGTAGTAGTAGTTATAGTACTAGTATAGTAATAGTAGTAGCGTCGGTAGTGGTCAGTGTAGTGGTAGTAGTAGTGGGCGACCGATAAACCAATAAACCAATCAGGATATGCGAAACATCACGGCTTAATTACTTACTCGTCGTAAACGCACTCTGAAATAGTCACCAGTGCTCATTCTGCTGTCAGCTGGGCATGGTAGGCGAAAAGCTGACGAAGCGCAGAACAGAATGACAAATTGAGCGAAAAACTGACGGAACGCCGAACACAATGCCAAACGCGGCCGATAAACCAATAAACCGGTGAACGCCTAGCAGTAGCATTAGTAGTCGTAGTAGTAGCTGTAGTAGTAATCTAGTAATGGCATTTCACGCGTGCTCATTCTGCTGTCAGCCAGGGGAACAATAGTAGTAGCAGAAGTAGTAGTAGTAGTAGTAGTAGTAGTAGTCGTCATAGTAGTAGTAGTATATTAGTAGTAGTAGGATCGGTAGTGGTCAGTGTAGTGGTAGTAATAGTGGGCGACCGATAAGCCGATAAGGATATGCAAAACATCACGGCTTAATTACTTACTCGTCGCAAACGCACGCTGGAATATTCACCCGTGCTCATTCTGCTGTCAGCCGGGGGAACAATAGTAGTAGTAGTAGTTATAGCAGCAGTGTATTAATGGTAGTAGGATCGGTA